GTGGGATTTTATTAAGAACAGGAATGAGTGGTTTGCAACTGAAGTACTGAAGTTTTATCAAACAAATACTGTGCCATTATGTGAATGACAACTAAGAGGGCCTAGGCTTTGGAACCAAAGCTTGGTTTGAATATCAGCTCTGTCACTTTCTTGGTGATAAACTGGGATAAGTAATACTTACCACGAAAGGTTGTGGTTTTTAGTTATAATGGCAGTCAAACTCTCAACATTTTGCCTGCACATATATTGGTGACTATTGTTATTATTAAAATGGATTATACAATGATGAGTGTTTAATTGTAACAACTAGTGTAGCTATGCTGGCCCATTTCCTGATGTTCTATTTTGCCTGAAATCCACTGTGGCATGTAAGTACATTTTAGAACTATGTTTGGAACCACAGTATTTTTTTCCTGTGGCTGAAATTTTTAAAAACTTGAAGAGAAATATGTATCTATGAGCAACATGCCATCTAAAGTTTCCCCAATACTAGGAAACAAATAAAACTGGTCTTAGGTATAGCACCTATCTTGTGCCTGCTCCACTGTGGTATAAAAATGAGTGAACGTGGCATTTTATCCCTTGGATTCTTAGCCTCTGAAAGTTATACTTTAATCCACATGCTGTGTTGTTAGCCAGAAAATCTATTTATATGTCTTTATAGTAGCTGATGCAAATCTTGTGATAAAGAAGTCTTAAGAGTTAATAAAATGCTAGGTATCTTCTGCCAACCTCACTCAATTTAGATTATTTATGTCTTTGGGCCTTGCCTGACTCTGGAAATGATCTGAAGTATTTTAGTTAACTTTGTGACATATTCAACGTCCAATGTTAATGAGTTAATTTTCTGTCCTGCAGGAAGGTCAAACTCTGTTTAATATTTAATGCAAAACAAAACAAGAAAGTATCTATACCTAGACACCGAAGAACAGACAATTTAGTTTCCTCTTTTTTTTTCTTTTCTGTTTAAACTGAGAGTCAATGATCAAAAGTTAATTTTGGACTTTACCTGGTTCAACAGTGAATGTAACACAGGCAGTCAACAAGTTAGGCAAATTTACAAGAACACTGATCACCCTGACAGAGAGGGACTGTCCAGAGACGCCCAGGAAGAGGATACACGTAGGGACTCTCTAATTCTAGAGGGGCTCCCTCTAGTAAGTATCCGTTTCATCCTTTTCCAACATCACTCGAAGAAAAACCCTTTAAGGCCTCCCAACTGCCTTAGTTCTAACTAAAGCTGGCCAAGCAGTCCTCCCTAATCCTGTGGCACTTGGGGGGATGTGGGGTATGCCTTGGAGACAGGCATGGAATTCAGGGACGTCAGAGGGACTCTATTCTTCATTATAATCCAGTGAGTCAGCAGGTTATTTTTTAAAAATTAAACTTGCAAGAAGTTGTTTTGTATCTAAAAGTGTTTTTAAAAGACAGAGTGTAATGAGCTCTTTAAACATATTGGAGGGGATTTGAATTATTTCTATTGTTTGCCTGCAACAGAGCAGAAAGCATGCTTGTGATCAGAATAAAATTTGTTTTAATTTCATCTTTATTACACAATTATATAATAAAAACACATTCTCATTGTGAAGAAAGAGACATTTGAGAGCAAAACACAACTGTTTCTTTTCTATGTTCCTCTTCTTTTTAATTTAGTGTGTTTCTATCTAGTCCTTCTCCTATGCATTTATATACTACTAAAACAATATTTTAACAATTAATTTACTTACTGGCCTGGAAAATAAGGATCTAGAAATTCTATCTCTAGTATATCTGAAAACACTGAAGATCTGCTCAAACTGGCTCAGTTATTTTCCAACAAGAATAAAAATTATTTTCTTAGCATATTTAACTTATACTTTACAAGCATCTCTGGGTTAACGGTAGTAAAACCTTTCACTGTACTATCTCAGAGAGAAAAGATGGAGAAGGGTGAGACTCAGATTAAGCAAGCTATTGATTTTTGCATCTGTGCTGCAGGGAATAAGGCCAAGCTGGGGAGCTACAGGCTAGGAAGATTCCATTAATCCTTCACCATTTCCTAAATGTGCAGTTTCCCCGAGTTTGGCTTTAGTTTAATGCAAATGTTTCAGCCCACGGGTAAGAATTCTTCTGGACAGCTGTGCCCTTGGAAATGCAAGGACGCTCTACAGTGGCAATTCATAGCACTTTTGTTACTTCAACTGATCTGTTCAGGTGATGCTTGACTTATACTAAATTTTCTCTGAAGCCATCATAAAGCCAAAGAACAAGAGAAATCCCAGTTACATAAAGAAGGGCCTTTTCTATACAAAATCATTTGCTCAAATGCACATAGACAGCATTGCTAGAGTAGGGTCGGAGGTGGGGGAGGAAGGGACCATGGCTTTGCTATCTGAGGTTTGGGAACAGTATTCATTTCAGTTCTCTTCCTGGAAGTAAATCTCAAATTTCCTGACCCTGGCTGTGAAATGACAGCCATGAATAGTTAACAGTATGGTTATTTCCTCTATAGTATCCACCCAACAAGCCATATAAATCTCATAGATGTAGTAGCTCTTTTTAGTACATGAGGTTACTGTTTTCTTCAGATTTTCAGACTCAGGTTTGCACACTGTGCTTTCCCAAGCCTCAGAGTTCAGGACAGAGATCTCAGGGCCTACTGAAGGAAGGAAGCAAGGGAAACTCTACACTGGTTTTAACTAGAATAGTTGTTTTGCTTATATGTTCTTCATAATGTTTTAGAGGGAAAAGTACATTATTACCTTATTAAAAGCCTTAGGCAAATAGCATATAAACATAACTGTAAGAAAACAAATTTTTCTGTCCCCTTTTGGCATTTTTATGGCTCACTGGAGTCGGGTCACAGCCCCAGTGGTGTTTCTTCTTGGGAGCAAAGCATTCAAGTGTTCCCTTCAACAAAGGCCACCTAAAGGTCAGTGATTTCTAAGCTTTCTGTCCCTCTGAATCTTTTCCTCACCCATCAATACCTGATTTTCACAAAGCTTCTCAATAAGGAAGGCCCTTATCCTAGCCCATACCTAATGGACAGATGTTATTGAGAGGAATTTTTTTTTTCATTCTTGAGATAATTTACTAAGAAGAACATGTTCCAGCTCCATCCATGTAAACATAAAAGATATAAAGTCTCCATCCTTTTTTATGGCTGCACAGTACTCCATGGTATACATATGCCACAATTTTCTTTTTTTATTAAATCATAGCTGTGTACATTACTGCAATTATGGGGTACAATGTGCTGATTTTTTTTTTTGAGACAGAGCCTCAAGCTGTCCCCCTGGGTAGAGTGCCGTGGCATAGCTCACAGCAACCTCCAACTCCTGGGCTCAAGCGAGTCTCCTGCCTCTGCCTCCCAAGTTGCTGGGACCACAGGCACCTGCCACAACGCCTGGCCATTTTTTTTTGGTTGCAGCCATCATTGTTGTTTGGCGGGCCCGGGCTAGATTTGAACCCGCCACCTTAGGTGTATGTGGCTGGCGCCTTAGCCACTTGAGCCACAGGCGCTGAGCCAATGTGCTGGTTTTAGCTACAATTTGAAATACTTTCATCAAACTGGTTAACATAGCCTTCACAGCATTTTCTTAGTTATTGTGCTAAGATATTTATATTACTAAAAGAGATTTTAAGAATCCAGAAAAAGATGTCATTTCCAATAGGCAAGCAAAAGATCGAAACTCCATGCCTTACACCAAAATAAATTCCAGTTTTTTTTCTTTTTTTTTTTGAGACAGAGTCTCTGGCTTCTGTGGTAGGCTGCCATGGTGTGTCATAGTTCACAGCAACATCAAACACATGGGCTCAAGTGATCCCTCTTGCCTCAGCCTCCTGAGTAGCTGGGACTATAGGAGCCAGCCACAGCACCCAGCTAATTTTTAGAGAGGGGTTCTCAATCTTGCTCTGGCTGAGCTCAAGCTATCCCCCACGTTGGGCTCCTGGAGTGCTAAGATAAATTCCAAAGATCAAAGATTTAAGTGTAAAGATGAAACCATTAAAATACTAGGAGAAAATATAAAATCCAAGAGCCATGAAGGGTGAGATTAATATTTACTCATTTAAAATTAAAGTTTCTTATGGCCAAAATGATTATAAAGGCCAAAAGGTATATCAAATTTTGTGGAAAGCACTAATTTCCTTAAAATTTAAAAAGATAACATAGTATAAAAATGATAAGAAATGAACAGAGAAGAACTTAGGAAGAGTTTTCCAAATTTATTTATAAAGAAATGCAAATCAAATAATAAACTGACACCATTCTTTACTTTCAGATTAGCAAAGGTTAAAACATTTGATAACCATTTTCAGTAAAGGTATGGGACAATTATCATAGACTCTTTGTGGGAATTAGCATAGGCTTTTGGAAGATAATTTGGCTTTAATGTACCAACTATGTAAAAATCTATATTTTGACCTAGTATTTCTATAATTTGAAACTGATCACATAGAACTATCATACAAGTCCATAAACACACAGGTACATGGATATTCTTAAGTATTTATAATAGAAGTGGAAACAAAGTGAACACCATCAGTTACATATAAAACATACTACATATGTTATATACGTACATGCTAATATATATACGTACATACTAATATTTGGGAAGATGTTCATGATCTCTTGCTAAAACAGTTTGCAGAATAGTAGGTACAACACAACTCCATTTGTGTGGGTATACTTGTGTTTGGAAAGTTCTGGAAGGATACACAATATGTATTTAAAGTGGTCATTCCAGGTAGTGGGATTAAGTTAGGGGATTTTTTTTTCTTTCTACTTTTTAAACTTTCAGCACTTTTATATTAATCATGAGCTTGAATTCAATAAAAAATTAAAAGATCAAACCTGTATATATGAACAGAGCAGTATGCAAATGAAAAAAGATGGGTGAGGTGACAAGCAGAGATGGGCAGAGGCACTCCACCTTCAGGGCCGAAAGAAAGCTTTCAGGAGGTCATTGGAATCTGGTTTGGAGGCCAGCACAAGCCAAGACTTCTGGCCCTATGCTGTAGCATCCCAGGCTACCAGGGCTCCTAGCATAGACTGGGTCCCCCAAGGTCCAGAAAGGCCAGCACCACTGCTTATGTGGCCTGGGGCCTTTCAATCAGGTACAAATATTACCCTCTTGAATCCTAGGGCTAAGCTGGTCCTGTGGGTGGGCTTGGGTTCAGTACCACATGCTAAGTGGGGGGGTGTCCCCAATGTGCACATCAATAGAACAGCTTTTCTGGAGGTCATCATTCCTAAGTGCAGGTTACTTCAGCTAGGCTCTGCTTTTTGGAAAGATAGTTCAAAGGTTCATGCAGGCTGATCTAGCATTTCATGTGAAGGACAAAAGCCAGTGGTTTGTTGATCTAATACCAGGATAAATTACAAGGAGAACCTTCTTCTCCTTGTTTATTTTATTCTTGAATTCTATATTTCTGACTATAGATTTGTGGGGAAAGAGTCAAGTTTCCTCAGTGAGGTTTTTACACTTACAAATGCTTCCATTGGGCACTTTACAGATGGCTATGAATTAACTTTGAGAAAAACCAGTAGGAGCAAAGAGACAGGTACTACTTGCTACCTGGTTAATGGAGGTAACTTTGCAGGAAAAATATGTGAAACCATTTTATATAAAAGTTGAAAAGAGTCTCCTGGTATTGACACGATTGGGTATCTCCCCTCAAACACTGGATAAAAAGTTGTGTTGCTTGACTAATCTTTTTGATCAAAGCCAGTTTTCCCAACAAAGCCGAACCCCCTGCATCTAGGCAAAGTCAGAATCACTCCAGAACTCTGGCAACCTGTTAGTTGATGGAGCATTAGAATTTCAAGAAAATGAAATTATCTAAACTTCCTGAGGAATCTGTAAGTGATACACACTACTAAAGTCTTTCCAGTCAACTTATACTCATAAAATCCATTCCTTTCAGTGTAAAGAGGGCTATGTCTCTTTGGTGTTCCCAGAAAACATGTGAAAAAACCCAAAGAAAAACAGATGAACAGATTTGAATCAGGTATTCTGAATCATATGATCTCTTTTTTTTTTTTTTTTTTTTTGA